TACTTATTTACTCTTTACTTACTTATTTTTTTGTTACAAGTTTTTTCCGCAGCTGTATGTAACCAGATTGAACCTGTCCCCTCCTAGCTCAATAGTTTTGTAGAACTCAGATTCCTCCTCGCCTAAGTGATGATCCATGTTATAATTTTGATTCCCCCGCCCCAAACGATGACAGTAACTGTAACTGGCCATCATTTCACTCCAGATAAAGACAAGCTTCACACTCACCTCCGTGAATCCTGGCCATTGCCACATCCGAGGTGAATGGGTCTACACTTCAGTAGCGCGCCACTTCCTCTCTTCAAAAAACCACTGGATTGGGGTTGGAAGATAGTCATACTTGAGTGCCGTCTCCATACTCCAGCCAGTCATACGCCTGACCGAAAGAGCTACTTGTCTGCGTCCACTCACTTCTGGTTGTTCTTTACGTCCACGACTGAGTGTTGGGCGCGAGTGCTGCACATTGAGGATAGGCCGGGCGGAATATGGAGAGGGGCACTCTGGTATCACTACCCAACCCCCTTCATGCGCATTTTCGGGTGGAGAGAGCGGCGCACTACTGCAGAGCAAAAGTCAGGGTGTTTTCATAACTATGATACTCACTCGATAATGGTGGATTCTAACTGAAGGCCCAGTTTAAAGCGTTCTCTGCAGAAACTAGGGCATTACAGGGAACACGGGTGGGTTGGTGCGGCACCAGCCTGTACTCCACCAGTTGTGCAAACTAGCACGCGCTTACGATTGGTGGAGAGGAGACAGGTGCCGCACTGAATCCATTCCCCTTGGAAACGCCCCGGAGAACAAGATTCTAATTGAAGGGCCAGTTTAAAGCGTTTTCAACTGCCTGTTTTGCATTTTCGTCCCCTTGCAGGTCAACTAGCTGCTACAAATTCGTATTTGAATCACCATACTGTTGTCGCAGATTAAGCCTCAAAGGTAATTCTGCTATCACTTATGGCAGTCAAAACTCACGGTTAAGGAACATATGGACCGCAGTGGGAAACCTGGGACCATTTTCGCGTCAGAAACTTGTAAAGTAAGGCTGTTAGGAGGCAAGGCTGCTCAAGTGATACCGCTAAAGCAGCAGTGGCTCCGCTCCGCCCCGATGTCTGTCATTTCACTTGTAAGCTCTCTTTCCATGTTCGTGTCTGGTCTCACGCAGGGGATCTCAACAGGCTTCCAACTCTGCTTGGAACAGGGTTGGTCTAATATGTGCAGCCTTAACTGTTTCGTGTGCTTCTTCTGGTGCAGTCAGGCTTTGGGGGGGCATCAAATAGCATTCGGTAAAGCCTTCGCAGGCCACCTTTCGATGACGTGTAAACTTTTGTAACCACAGTGGCTCACATGTAGCATTGCAACTCTACTAGAGGTTACGGGTCTCACAAAAATAAAACATGTCGTTAACATGAACTAGCAAAAGAAACAAGGTGCAAAATGCCTCTCCCAAGCCAACCAATGCCCTTTTATAAAGCGAAAAGGTCATTTAGTGCGTACTTTTTCCATTCTCGTTACCTAGGAGTTTTTGCCGTCCGACTGCGAAATGTGCCCTTGAAGGTGGCAATTACCTTTTGTGGACATGGGAGCTCAGGAGCAAATGTTAAGGTGGCCATCGGAAACGACTCAAGTAAAACCCATGACGGGTTCTAAACATCATATGGGCAGACACTTTCAAGAGACACTGAGCGTATCAAAGAGAATTAGACGATGCTGTGGCGAGAGAGTGCACAAATGGTCGAGACTCCATCGTTATATTGCGATAGTGAAACGAAATTAGGCCGGGGAGTGAGTACGGGGCGGAGAGCGCTAATCATGCCATAGCCCTGACGCCCTTATCAAGCACCTTCTTTCGGCGATGGCGATGCATCCTCTCTGGCTGCGGACCGTGTCACCTCGCTCAAGGAAGGACTTCCGCACGCTCTGTAATCGAGAACCCTTCGAAGATGTACATCAAAATAATCTATTTAAGGCTTTAATTTCTCTCTAAATTTCTCTCTGGAAAAAAACCATTTCCTAGTTAATAGATTGTGCATATTTTATCATTTAACAGAAACCTTTCGAATCGATCAGACTCTCAAAACACTACTACTTTTTTTACAAATCGCAACAATAGAGACTGACAGCTGGACACTGCTCCAGTTGCTTTTCCATAGCATCGTAACATCGTTCATGCTTTGCGGTAGCGACGAGGCGGACATGGGCAGTACTCTTTGTCGTGTCCAGGCATACCAGGAAGAGCACGCTGTAATAGCACACATCAAAGAATAATGAGAGATCCAGAAGATTGATAACGCTCACCATTCCAGGAGGCCCTTGTGGGCCCTTTGGTCCGGCTTTTCCTCGATGACCTCTCGGTCCTGGCGGTCCAACTTCTCCCTTTGGTCCTGGTTCTCCAATTTCACCGTCTTTCCCAGGAAATCCGACTGGACCCTTTTCGCCCTCGAGGTCCAGGTCGGCCAGGCGCACCACGGCAACCTGGGGAGCCAGGGAAACCATCCTTTCCGGGAAAGCCTGGCACGCCACTAAAACCTTTTTCACCGGGTGGACCGGGCGGTCCCGGTTTACCGATTTCTCCTTGTGGTCCCTGGCATCCAGGTTCGCCATCGCGACCAGGTGGCCCTGCCGGTCCTCGACCACCTGGTGGTCCTGGTGGTCCACGTGGACATACCGTACACCCACCAGGGATGTCGTGAGTGACGGCTATCGCGACTCCCTGAAGAATACTTTTCTTGATTTTCGCATTTTCCTACTTGTTATATCCTTCAAAGCGCATACCTTGACACCGGGACGTCCATCGCTGCCATTCTCGCCGTCAAATCCCGGCTTTCCAGGTGGCCCAGGAGGTCCTGGAGGTCCAGGCGGGCATCCTTCCGATTTTGGTGCGCAGTTGCACTCATCCAGGGAATTTGAGCCTCTTTTGTGACGACCGATCAGGGTAGCGAACGATACTGGCGCTCTGTTCTCCTTCGGCGAATGTGGGTGCAAAGCGATGATATTGTTCCAGGTGCTGTCGGCTACTACCTGGAATGGGAGGGTTCATTTCTGCTGTCTTAAGGGACCATAACTGACTTACTTTGAATTCATCCATCGTGTTCAGGACTTCATTGCGAAGGTCGTCAATATCGTCTACTATATAAGCAATCGATATCAGACATGCAACCGTAGCGATCAAAGCCGTCGCAGAAGCGAGGCCCACGACGAACATGGCGCGCCTGGGCAAGCACTTACCAAGTAGTTCCGATGTACCGGAACTCTATTGCCCTTTTATAGGTGACCTCAAGCGAGCTGCGGCCTTGCTAAGTACCAGAAAACATTTTGTGAAGGTCAGTTCTTTGAAAGAAATGCTGCAAAAAGCGCTGACGTGGCCGATACGACCAGCGGAGAATTTGGTGCACCCTGCTTGTTCCATGTCCGAAATGTACTTGTGCTTTATTTTGAGAAGTTGTAAATATGTTGGGAATGTTGTGCTGGGAGATGTTTTCATAATCCTGCCAATTCAATGTGAAATCATTTGTTTTTTTTTTTGCACTGTACCGAGCTCTTAAAGACAGCCCCCGCTCCAGCAAGCGCAGGTGGCGCAGTTTGGCGATGGGGGAGGGGGGAGGGGATTTTGCACTTCGGCTGCGTCACTTCACCGTTTCCGGTTCACAAGTCTCCCTCTGGTGGAACCTATGAACTCTTGTGAAGCTGAAGCAAGCTCGTCAAGCCATCATGGTAAGACCTCTCACCTTTCGTAAGCTCGTGAAATAGCTTTGTACATGGCGCGACACGTCGATGGTAAGTAGCAAAAATGCAAAATGCTTCCCCTCCCTTGTCGCCGAACTGCCCCTCGTAGGTGTCCTTCCTTGTACAAGTAGTCTGGTAATCTAAGATTACCCCCACTCGCGACTTCACAGTAAGAACGAGGAGCGCTACGGCCCTCACAGGGGGCAATTCTGGAGCCTCTTCGGTTGTTCCACCTAACGAATTTAAAACGCTTATATTCTGTGAGCAGGGTCAAATTTTACACGGTTTTTCGCTTTTTTCTTGTTAGCTGTATTTTCATAGGAATCAACGTGAAGTAGGAATTTGTGACCCAGAGTGAGCAGGATATCGCTTTGCTGGCATAAAGAGCAAGTCCGGAGAACTCGTCCAGAAGTTGCCAGGTCCTTGCTTATGGTTGGGTTCCCACGATTTTTTTTGCTTTATTTTTCTCTATAGGAATTATTTAGCGATGATAGTTCGTAAAAGGATGACACTACCCATTTTTCAGCATTTACTTACGACAAAAGACACGAAGATCGCCATTTTCATCGGTGCTTATCAATTAACAGTTTTCCTGTTGTGTAATTACTGCCTTCATAAATCGTTGAAGGTCATTTGTTCGAAGTGAATTTGGAGTCCACTTTATCAAAACCAGTTTTTGAAACTCTGTTACTGCTACAGCACTGACAGTAAGTCAGTATTTTCAACCAAACGATAAGTCTTGTTTATGGACACATTTCTTTCGCAACCCTGCACCCTTTCTTTCGCAACCCTGCCAACCTAAAGCCGTTAATGAACCAGTGCCTCAGCGCACCTGTCAACGCGGGAAGCCTCTCTTCTCTTCTCCCTTTTTCCCTTTTTTCCTCCCCTCCTTCATTTTCCCTCCTTCTCTGATCCCTCCTTCTTTACCTTTCTTCCTTAAACTAGTGGACAGGTAGATGCCCCGAGAAAATACCCCTGAACCCTCGCAGCGAGAGCACGTCTGGTTGACATATGCCCCGTACGACCTACTCCAGGGCTTACCATATATGCAAAAGTTTGTCTTGGAAATGAACGGAACAAATGACCTATGCTCCCGAGTGCTTTTTTCATCGTGCTATTGGTGTAGAGGACTTTTCGCTCTCGCTGATAATTTCTTCTTCATAGCGCGGGCAGTTCATACAAAAGAGAACTGAGGAGAGCTCTTCATTCTCCCACCCCATACCCAGGTTTATGTTTGTCCCTCTTTCTCGAAGGCACAAAGGAGAACGCTGTATAATGATGTGTAAGCAGTAGAATTCAGTTGGAACGGACTCGAGGCAACCATTTTGGAAGACGGGTTGTAGGAACGTTAGGAGGAATCACTTGAAGATTTGGAATCAGGGACTGTGGGCCTTTCCTTCCTGGTGCCTTGCACATACAGCCCGTATCCCGGTGAGGAAGGGGAGCGAAAGGGGACTCGGATGTTAGAGCGGTGCTGGTAGACAGCTGCCGCTTCAGACAGAGGGATGAGGATGAGGAACGTTGAGCCATCCATGAGACCTTTTCCATGTCTCCGCCCGAAGCAAGCCACCAGCTTCCTTCTGCTGCCGCTCTAACATCCAGCTTCGAACACCCCATCACCGCCCAGTGAAAAAAAACCTACAACATTTGCTCCCTTTCAATATACTTTTTTTGATTTGGCTTGGTGGAGAAATTGTATTGCGGGACGTTAAAAACATGGGATGCCTGGAGATGGATGGGAATGGATGAATCATGTTCAGATCTGAATAGACCCAGGGTGGCACGCACCCGGTTGAGCGAATCTGCGTTGAACGGGTCACTAGCGTCAGGCGGCTTTTTCGGATATCAAAATTATCGCAAAGGCAAGGTCCAATTCAGAATATGCAGAAGCTTATGATGTCTGAGATCAACTTTATTACATTCGAGTTCAAAAGTTTTTTCCTGCAGATCAATTCAACAGACTCATTTCACTGGTAGGCATTGTGACTATGGCAGTGACAATAGGAGTAGGCTTATCCTGCTTGATTGAGCAGCCACTCGAATTGTCTCGGAGAGTCCCTGAACACTTCTTATTCTTCTCATTCAGCGTTTCGCTCAACCAGACTGCCTCACATGCTCAGGACTTGTCTTACTTTTTTTTTTTCCATGGCTCGAGCATTTCGACGAGCGGTTCGTAAATAATAGAAATGACAGGCATCAAGATGACCGGTATCAGCGTTTGATCGAAGCGGTATATGCTTGTGTGTGTATATCATCGATAGCCACAAATTGTAGAGAGGAGTTTTTCCTGGAATGATTCAATCAGTGGAGTCGAGTTTATAGAGCTTTATGAATAGTTCAGATGTTTCCTCCATTTTTTTAATGAATGACAGTTGGCACGATGCGTTTCTCATTGGCCTAAAATCTTATCGCTCTGTAGTTGGGGAATTTGGCGAAGAACGGACGTGAAACGGTCCAAACTCAGTACAGCATGGTATGCGCGAGATGTTCGGTTGTGAGTACGACCCCCCCTCCCCCCTTCGAATGGAGTCCAGGCACGACCCTCTCCACGATTCTTCGCCGACGGCGAGCGAGCGTGAATTTCAGAAAACAAATTTGGTTTGCCAAATCCGACCTCCCTCCGCCAGAGCAAAAGTACGACCCTCCCCATGGGTTTGACACCAACGATGCTTGTAACCTGTTGGAAAAGGCGCCAGAGGCTCTGGTCCGATGGTTCACGAATTTTGTAGCAGTCGTATAATCCTACATCTGTATAACGAACATTATCGTGAAAGCTGCCTTTAATATGCTCCGGAGCAGGTCACTTTTAGTTCATAAGAAAGAAAGAATGAACATAACTCACGTAGCGCAGCTCAATTTAATGGTGATTCGGAATTTTGGTCCGAAACCGTTGACCGTTACAGCGATGTCGACCGAATGATTCGGATCGGTTGAGATCGATGTGGCTGACGTTTGTGCAAGCGCAGCAAAAGCTGTTGTCGTGTGATGTTTGATGAGGAACAAATCCCGTTGATAAGTCTGGAAACAGCGTAAGGATTTCAGGTACAGTCCTGCTTGCTGCGGATGCTGAGGCGTGACAGGGGAGCTGGGTTTGGCACGACGCGAACCCCTTCGCGGACCATCGGCAAAAACTGATCGAGGCAACTACAATGCCGGAAAACGGGCTGACGCCGCGCCGTACCCAGGCCTTGGCATTCGCAGCAAGACTGCAGGTCAAGCAAGTGCTACTTACTTCCGCTCAAAATTTAACATCCTCTAAAATTTAGCTTTCCCGGCATTAGTCATAAAAAATGTGCCCACATTAATTCCTGATTGGGTACTCCTTTACCATACTGGGAGAAGAGGCAGGTCAATGAAGAAAATGAGGAAAGCAAAGTGGTAGGTCTGAGTAAAGGAGAATGGCGATACGTACTGATTAATCTGATTGACGTTCTCTCGTTTCTCTGAACTGTTTTGATCGATGAATATTTTGCTCTTTTTTGGTATATTCAACTTGATATTGTAGGCTTTCGGTTGTGGAGCGAGATCGATTCTCTCGTCAAGTGAAGCTTTCCGTCGGAACAATTTTACCAGGAGGCCGCCTTCTGAAACTTGAAAACTGAAAATGGAAAGTTAACGTTGATTCAAGCGCCCTGGCACGGATCAGCCAGCAATCGTCATCAACAACCCGCTTCTTCAGATTGATTTGGAGTTATAACGTATACTTATATCGTCACAACGTCCAGGGCGTGCAGGAGTCGTGAGCAAGCTTATTTTAGCCCGCCTTCTCTATCATTATGTGGTGATTTATCTAATGGAAGAAAACCGATAGTGGTGAGAAGAGTGGCACTCATTCCATGCCTCCTGAACCCTCCCCGGCAACTTGCGACAATATCAAGTACCGTAAAAGAGCAACAGTAGCTATAGCAGGTGCAGGTGATAGAAAAGATATCGATCAAGTGCGCGTAAACCCAACTAGCTCGATATATCTCTTATCTATGGGCGATCGAAGGGCTGCTTTAGAGTGACCTCTGCAAGTCGCATACATGGGCGATCAACCCACAATCGAGGAACAATTGAAACTGCGACGGCTACGATGGTTCGGTCATCTGTGCAGGATGGGTCACGACAGAATACCTAATATGCTCCTGTGGAGAAAACGCCCTGCGCAGTGGAAAGTTCAGAGGACGGCTCCAAAAAAGACTTGGTTGAAGCAAGTTGAGGAAGACCTTAGGGCTCTGAGGTGCAGTGTTGAGCATGCTAGACGTATTGCTGCTAATCGACCAGAATGGAGACACTTCATTCAGGGCGTTCGTACTCCAATGGCACCCACAGCAGTGTACTGGTTGAGAGGACGGCCCCCACCACCAGACGCAAGCTAAGGGATAAGTAAGTAAGTAAGTAAGTAAGTACATGGGCTCTGCACCGAGATAAAGGCAGTTGGCACGATAAATCGCTATACAGGTGTAGGATTTGTACAACTGGCTCAACAGAATTCCGTGACCTCGGACAGGCGCTGCGTGAAATCTTTTCCAAGGAGGGTACCTCTATAACGCCCTATTGAGCAACAACTTTACGTCCCAAACGCCTTCCTTGCCCGCCCGCCCAAACGGACGACCCTTTCTGACGCTCGTATTCATTCATTTGCCAAGCAAATTGTGAAGCGAAGGGATTGGTATGAAGCGGCCGTGATGCTGCATGCATACATGGGTACACATATGCAGCCGTACCTTCGGTAGCGGTGATTGGCAAGGTGCGTACGGGAAACTCGTCCGAAATCGATTTACAAGTCACTGAGAACGGAGGCTTTTTCTTCGCCCGGATTTTGACCGTTTCACTCCGTTCTTTCGCCATTTCCCCACTATACAGCGCCCTACTAGCATTTTAGGCTAAGTAGGAAACCATCGTGCCAACTGCCTTTAAGCAATTCTTTATTTTGGGATTAAAAATTCGCGTCTTATCGTCATAGCTCGCAGAATGCTGACGCTGGTGTTCTGAAGAGTTAATGGCGACAAGACAATCGTACTTTGCCGCGCTGTTAGGCGTGGCGAGCAGGACCTACCTGCGCGGGCATATTACGACGGCAAATTTGACTGTATTTATTTATTGGTATTGCACCAACATGCTCCTTTACAGAAACTTGAATGGTCGTCGTTTCGCTTAATATCATATAAGTTTTACGTCTTCCAACCGACAACTGCGGCGCATCACAGAATCAAGGGCACCATCGCCGAACATCGCCGCGCGCACGACACGAGACAAACTTCAATTTGTTTGTTCTGCGCTCCCGTTCTCAATAGCAGCTGCTGTTGTCAGTTAATTTTTGTCACATAGTTGATTACCCAACTTGTCACGTAAAACTTTTGTCCAATATAGGTCACTCACACAGATAAAAAGACTAAAAATCTACAAGAGGAAATAAAGTTAAAAACGTTCCCGGCTTTCGTGCGAAGGTCTCTCTTTCACACACACAGGAGGCACCCCGTTCCGCTTGAGAGGCCACTTGTGCAAGATTCCTTTCGTGGACCTATCTGAAATAGCGAGGCCTAATTCTGGTACATCCCATACACTCCCGTGAAGTTGCGGAACGATGCGAGTGAGCCATACTGTTAACGAGTTTCCATAAGATGATAAGTACAGGGTTCGCAAGTGTGGTTTGCTGCCCGCCCCCCCCCAAGCCGAAGTGCGTCCACAGGTGTGCCTTATCCTCCAGGAGATAGGGTATGAAGATATGGTATGAGGGTATGAAGAAGTCACATACCTTTTGTCCCAATAATGAGCGCTCCCTCTTCTCTTCCAAAGGCTCCAAACTTTATCCATGACAGAGACCTTTCGAATCGCATGATGTCGAGAAGATGAAGGTGCGTATACAATCGAATCTGAAGCCGTTTTACTTACAACAGTTGTTCAAGGTTTTGAGTCAGAGCTAAGTCAGTTTTGAAGAGTCACATAATGTTCATTTACTACCGTACCTGATTTTCCAATAGGACCAAAACGCCCTCGAATTGTTTTGGGGCATACTGGAATAGTTCAAGGCCTTTGATCGGTTCCCCGAGAGATATCGTGTTCAGACACTTGCCAGCGAACGAAAAGAACATCAACATATGGTTAGTGGTCGCCACAGCGAGCTAAATATCAGCAAAATCTATGCAAAATGAAGGAAACAAAAAGGAATTGTTACATCAGTTCAAAATGATTTTCTTCCTTCAACCATTTGCCGCTGCATACACCAATATCTCGGAGATGGGGAAGTGTGGCTGCGTACTTCACTGGAACATGGCGGCTGAGGCGTCTTCCGAGGGATATTTTCATTTGAGGCAACTGTCATTCTGTCCGTACTGGACGAAGGTGTTAACCGTTCCAAAGCGGCAATGCCCCAGTAAGAAAGCAGCCACCTTTAGTTTCGAATGTACGCAGCCACGCCCTTCCGATGTCCGAGATATGGAGCGTAACTGCCAGCAAGTAGTTCCAACTCCGACCGGAAGAAACTGAGTCTTGTCCAGTAATACTATCCAAAAAATAAGAAAGGAGCTCACCATTTTATTGATTCTCGTGAAGCTGACAATGTTCGTCTTGCAGGAGATGATCGGTTTCTCCTTGACGGTCTGATCTCTTTTAATGGAGAAAATTTGACCATCACGTGTGCTCACGAAGATCCGATAGTCAATATCAAACACTCCTTGAATGCTTGGCTTTAGAGTTCATTTGAAAATGTACAGTCCTATTCGCTGCGGCGGATGAGGCGTGTCAGTGAGGCTTAATTTGGCGCGGCGCCAGCCCACTCTTCACCAGTTAAGCCATAGCAATTGGCGGAAAATAGCGACTGGTACGAACGATATGATACAGCCTTATTGCCCGCTTGTGGAAAGAAAAAAAATCGGTGGGCTGTCCAAAACGCACTCCTTCTTGGCACTTTCCCATCCCACGCAACAAAGACTGTAATGCAGACAGAGTAGTGGACGCTCTACTACGGTCCTATGGTTCCTCCAGTTAACGACGCCCGCCCGTCATTTAAGGCTTGCTGGGCGCCAAACTACGTGGGCAACGAAGGATTCCTACGATCTGGTTGAGCGCGAAGGTTGTCGCAAGGTCTGACAGGAGGGGAGCGTTGCAAAGAGAGCACGTTACAAAATAGCCGTGATACCAAGGCAGTTGGCACGATTTCCCCAGAGTGGTCTCGGGGCAACATCCCCAAGACCACTAAGGTTCAAAACTCATGGCAAGATAGAAATTCCGGCGACCTTGAGGCAGGCGATTGCATAGCGGTTTTCCTCGAGGAATGGTGAGGAAGGTGCCGCTTATAAGGACGCTATCAAAGTACGTCCGCCGAATGCCGGCAGCCACGCGCCCCACAATAGACGACGCGTTCCTAAACTCGTATTCATTCATTTGCTAAGCAAATTATGAAGCGAAGGGATTGGTATGAAGCGGCCGTGATGCTGCATGCATACATGGGTACACATATGCAGCCGTATCTTCGGTAGCGGTGATTGGTAAGATGCCTACGGGAAACTCGTCCGAAATCGATTTACAAGTCACTTGAGAAGCGGAGTCTTTTCAGTTGCAGGATTTTGACGCGCTTCACTCGCGGTTCTTTCGCCCATTTGTCCACTGAACAGCGCCGCCATACTAGCAATTTCAAGGCTAGGTTGGAAGCCCATCGTGCAACTGCTTTAATAAGGAACGGTCCGCGGTGGCGCCTAAAGCCAAAAAATATAAAACATGATAAAATTATAAAAGATTGTGTGGGAAGTGTAGAGTAATCGGCGCATAAGACCCAGCCTGTGCCATTCTGGTAATTCGTAACGGAAACGAGTTAAGGTGCAAGGTAGTTCCCGTGACTCCTCCTTTTTCTCAGTGAACCCCTCCCCAGACTGCGCCTTCAAAGCCCGCCTCCAGAAAGCGATGCTACCGGGCAAGTAACATGGAGTGGGTGCTTTACTGTCTCTTTAGGGGTCTTGAGGTTCATTACAAGGGATCAACCGACTGAACACGTCCCAGCACGCGGTCCTTTGGCCTTTCACCCGTACAATTATTTGAGGCTGGAGGGGTCCTATTAAAGGTACAGTCCGCGATCAGGTATAGAAGTTGAAAATATGGTGTCGGGAGGGTAGTGTGGTCCGTGACGAACAACCTTGTACCGGTTTCGCATCAAAAAATTGTAAGGGAGGGGCGCTATAGCGCAATATAGGTTCAGTGACGCCTCCTTTTTTCCAGTGACTCCGCCTCCAGACTCCGCCCTCAAGGCCCACCTTTCAGTGAAAAACGAAGCTGCAGGACGAAAAAGCATGAAAATTGTCACTTGTACGGTCGTAGAGTTCTTATCGGGGAATCAGCTGTGCGGATGAGGGCAGTTAATTAAGCACGTACAAACTGGGATCGGAATGGGGTTCTATTTAGGGCAGTCGGCACATTTTTTCTGCTTTTTTCTTCACTATCGAATTACTCACAACCTAATCATCTATATGCAAACTCCTGATCCACTATCTGTGATGGCGAATGATTGCGGGCTTTGCCTTCAAAGGATTGGTG